TGTATAAGCAAGGTTCTTTTTTCGACGATCAATGAATCAGTTTGAAAGAAATGAATATATTGACAGAATGCCAGTATGGATTTTGCAAAGACTAGACGGTAGATTCTGTTTTTTCCTGTCAAATATAATAAAAATTAAATTTTTTCTTTAGGATCGTATTTTCATGAGAAAACCATTATGAAAACGATTACGCAAATCCTTTTTTTTTTTTGCGCTATGCGACTCGACTTGAACATGGAATTCCAAAATTCATTTTCAGTCAAAATTACAAATTTTATTTAATCTATTTATTTATTATTTTATAAAAACGTTTTATCAGCTACTAATTAGCGCGATGTCTCAGTTTGTCAGGATAACAAATCCTTTTAGAGAATGAAAAAATTTGGAGAATTTAGAGATGAGAAATCAAATAACTTTGTTGGTTACTACAGATGTTACATTTAGCCTTGTGGAAGATCATCTCACAGAACATCCAGTTTTCTTTTATGAAAATAATCAAGTCTAGACTTTTAACTTTGTTTAAAGAAAATTTAAAAATAAAAAATACATTAATGGCACTCTTGTGTCAACCCTCATTTATCAGATTCCAAAATCAAAGAGTCATTCCATTCAAAATATAAGAAAAAACCCTTTTTTTCTAAGTCGGCTGTTTCTTATTTCCTGTTTAGCTCTAAATCTAATAGTTATTCAGATATCGAGAGATGCGGTCGGGTGTGATGTGGGTTTCAGAAAAACATTTTCTTTATCGTGCCAACGTTTCGATCTTTTATTGAGATCATCTTCAGGGCTCAAAGTGTTTGTCTTCTGTGTAATTGTGTCATTCTTGCGTGTCGTGTTGAGAGTGCCTGGGCAATTACACAGAAGACAAACACTTTGAGCCTTGAAGATGATCTCAATAAAAGATCGAAACGTTGGCACGATAAAGAAAATGTTTTTCTGAAACCCACATCACACCCGACCGCATCTCACGATATCTGAACAACTATCGATTAACGGTCACTAATCTCTACACATTTCTAAATCTAATTTAAAATGAAAAAGTGGAAAACCCTACGTACGCCAGGAAGTAGAAAAATTCGAAACGGATCGAATAGTAAAATCAAAATTTAAAAAAACACATCCCCTGCAACCTCCCAACTCATTAAGTATTGTTATTCGTCGCGAAATATGGTAATTTTATTAACAGGGATTAGCTGGAGTTGAATAATTCTTCTAACTGATCAGGTCCAGGGCTTGATTGAAAAGTTAATCGAGTTGCTTGTTTACGTTACATCCAAGTAAAAGTGCGATGATCCCTCTCGGTTTTATTATCATCACGGTGTTTTACAAGAGAACAGATATCCAAAAACAGGTACGGTTTTAATGAGCTTCATACAAATAAAAAACACTGGATGATTTATGAAATGTGAATTTTATTCTATTTATCATATATCATTCCAAGAACTTACTTTATGTTACTTTAAACATTACGAAGGTCGTGGGTTCGAATCCCGCTCGGTACTATAATTTTTTCATCTCAAACAAGATCTTACATAAAAAGATTAATTAATATGGCCTATAGACTACTAAACATAAATAGATTAATATCATTTTAGAATTACTTTAAGCCGTATGAACTATAGGAAATATCTATAACCATACCGTAAAGTGGAACATGTATGTTTTTTGTTTTAATTGTAAACATAATATGTATATATTTTTATTTTTAATGATTTACTGTTAATAAAACGTTTTCACTATAAAATAAAATTTAAAAAAACTCATTTCATTTAATTAATAAAATTGACATCCCCTCGCGCTACTCTATCATATCCCTAGACGTTTCATCATTATTCACCAACATTCCAATAGATACTAAACATTATTAAAGGTAAATGGCCCAATTTAACACCAGACACAAGTGTATAAAAAAATGTTCTTAACAATGGTTCGGCACAGCTGTATTTTTACAAACCACTATTTGGCATAGCCATGGGTAGCAACCCTAGGCCCGACACTTCCCGACATAATATGACTCATCTAGTAAAGACGAAAAACCCCTGTGATCAATGATGTAAAGATGATCGACCTACATTCAACATATATTTGATAGTATCGGAGATGTGGTTCTATGTTCTAGAATGTTCTAGTGTCTGTGATAATAGTTTGTAATAAGTACCATTTATTTCTTTACTTACCTGTTTATTTATTGAAAACATTGTACTTAGCATAAGAAATACCAAAAAGAATGAAAAAATATCTATACATGTTGAAAAGAACAAACAATTTTAAACACTGACAGAGAATCTGTAAGTTGGAAAAGCAAGTTGATTTGATTTTCACTTACACAGATGAGCAACTATAAAATATTATATAGGTATCTTTTGTAGAGCCCAGAGGAAGGTGAAATAAAACACCGAAAGCTTGGCGATTTTTCAACACTACAACATTCTTTTGACCGCATCGCCGATCCTACCAAATACAGGGTGGCTCCAATCGATTCAGCCATACTTCCAGATCTTATAGGAAATTGAACGCTGAGTAAAAAAGGTCCCATGAACCTGTGTCCGCAAACCCTTCAGTTCCGAGCTACAGGCAAAAAACCATTAAAAACCACGTTTTTTGACCTTATTCGTGAAATTGTTAGTACACCGTTAGCCTGATCGTAAAACAGCTCGAAACAACATCTGTAGAGGATTGATTTCTGCGTCGAATGAGATTAAAACCAGCCTTTTTGGCGATTTTTCGAAGTTAGCCTCCTAAAATAAGTGTACACAAAATTCACCATTTCTGACATTATTTGTTTAGAAATCGTGAGATGCGGTCTGGTGTGATGTAGGTTTCAGAAAAACATTTTCTTTATCGTGCCAACGTTTCGATCTTTATTGAGATCATCTTCAGGGCCTGGGATTTACAAACATTGTTTACATATAACAATTACATTTTGGATGTGGAAAAGTGAATTTATACAATACAAAATATATATTTTTTATATATTCAATCAAAGTATTTCTACTCACTCAAAGTGTTTGTCTTCTGTGTAATTGTGCCATTCTTGCGTGTCGTGTCGAGAGTGCCAGTGAGATTTTGCTATTTTGTGTTTATATACGTTGGATTTCAGGCCCTGAAGATGATCTCAATAAAGATCGAAACGTTGGTACGATAAAGAAAATGTTTTTCTGAAACCTACATCACACCAGACCGCATCTCACGATTTCTGAATAATTATCGATTAACGGTCACTAATCACCACACATATATTAGACACATTTAACAGCTTTCACCAACGCATAAAATTTACACATTAAATCGAAAACAACAAAACAATGCCATTTTTAGATATACTCGTGATAAAACAACCTTATGGGACATTAATCACAGATTGGTATCAACACTAAGAAACAGATCGCTACCTCAACTTTACATTACACCATCTCCTTCATACAATAATAAATTTGGCCAAAGGGCTCCTTCACAGAATTATTACCCTAAGCCATGAATCATTTCACAACAAGAACATAAAGATATACAAGCATATCCTACATAACAATCACTACCCTAAACACATACAATAAGCACCAGAAGAATAGGGGGGGGGGCGTCGGTGGCCGCAACGGTTTAAGCGTTGACACGGCGCTCACCTCTGTAAGGTAAAGGTCCCGGGTTCGAATCCAGCGGCCATTCAAAAACACCGGCACATCGAGGGTTGATAAAACCTCTTCTGTTGCGAACCCTCGTTTAAAAAACAAACATAAAAAAAATAATTAAAAAAACAACAGAATAATCAACAACTACAACTCAACACTAACACCATCCACTATTACTAATAATACTACATCAAATCTATCAAATACAGACAAACCAACATACTTATCCATTCCATTCGTTCTCGGCCTATCACACAAATTAAACGCATTTCTTTTTTTCTGAAAACTTTAAAATAGCCTCCAAAAACTATAAAACTATTCACACCCTTTTTTTCCTAAATTAAAGAACACACGCCTTTAACAAATAAGTCTGATGTAATTTACAAAATCAATTGTATAAGTAGATCCATCAGGATTACATCCCGACATCTGGATAAGAGGGTAAAACAACATATCTATGATTGCAAAAAAAACCAAACAAAATCCTACAGCACTGGCTACCCGCCATTACGAACACCTCCACAGAACAAAACAAACATAAATGTAACTTTTTAGAAATGGTTTACATTTACAGATATAAACGCAGCATCAATTATAGAACAGACACATGTAAACTCAGCCACAGCTACGTTAATATCATTAATCAAATTCAATATCGATAACATACATATATCATCATCACATCACACAAAACATATAAAACAATCATTACTCTCCACACATCAAATTGTACATAATCTAAATCTTAACAATTTATCTCTCCTTTCCCTAATAATCCCATCTATAATAATCCTGAAAGGCTAATCAGGCCCGAACGACAAACCATTACGCTTTTTTCCATTGTCGATCCCTTTCATCTTAAAGAAGCCGACTGGTAATAGAAAAATGAATTTCTTATGCCTAATTCCTTCCCACTCCTTCAAAATCAAACATATATAAACAAAGAAACATTAATATCTTACTAACACTTTCAACACGAAACACAACAGTGACACATCTACACAGAAAACACACACTTTGAGTGAGTATAAATACTTTTATTAAGCCTAAAATTTCTATATTGTGTACACCATTGTTTAAATTCATTTTCACATCTTGCGTGTATTTGTATAATCTAAACAATGTTTGTAAATCCCAGGCCCTGAAGATGATCTCAATAAAGATCGAAACGTTGGCACGATAAAGAAAATGTTTTTCAAAACCTACATCACACAAGACCCCATTTCACGATTTCGAAATAATCATTTTAAAAAAATATTTTTATTTATTTATTTTCGTATATATTTTAAAAGTTACTTGTATAATAATTGCGCTGAATCATCGTATTTAACGAAAATTTCATTAAAATTGTGTTTTTGTCTGTTTTTATTTCAGCACCTTTATGAACAACCAACAACTGGAGTCCATAGAAGCAGGCGTTTTTCAAGACCTGCCGCAGATAAGGACGATGTAAGAAGACTTTAATCTCCCTCTTCAAGGGTATTAAAAGTGAAATGTATTGTCCTCAGAGAGAGGGTCGTAAATGAGACAGCGGATTCTCACAAATAATTACTCTCTCCTCTAAATTCGAATTGAAACGAAAATAGAGCTCATTATCTCAAGTTGCCAAGTAGGGCGGAACGGCGTAAACGCCTTTTGTACGAGCCGGGGGAAGATAAGGTCAATGTGTCGGATTTCAACATCGTACAGTCAGCAGGATAGAACAATTGAAACTACTAAAATAACAATAAAAATTACAAAGATATTTAAATTAACTTTGTGGATTTTCAGCAAGGACCATCTTCTAAGTACAATCATATCCATTGTTACATAATCCCTCATTGTGTTTTTGGTGGTTTTTGTTCCCTTTTTATTCTCCAGGGGAAATCTGCTCGGGCTATCTTCTGTCACTCTTATTCAGATACTTTCAACGTAGTACCACTAATCCAATATCCGTTCAAATACCCCTTTGTGGAAATATTTTGAGAAGCCTTTGACCTCGGCTTCTTCGCCAGTTCCGAGTTTCTCTTCCATTGTGTGAAGGATCCCCCTTTTCAGATCCTTGTGAAACGGCTCAGTGGGGTAGGGCCGAGTATCTTTATTGACTCCTCGGTCATTGTCAGCCCGTTCATTGAACCTCCACACGGTGTACTCGTGGATAGGGTCAGTTTATGGTTTTCTAAGTCTAGGACCTTCTGGAGGAACGTATTTGAATAGATAACTTCTATCCACTCAAGAATATTATTTTCAAACTGTTGTAGTCAAGGGTTTAAAATACGTTTGATAAATTAAAGTGTAAAACATACATTGATGATTTGCTAAGCTTGTAGCTTCGCTTAATTTTCTTTTTAATACTAAATTCTCCGAATTATCTGAAAATATTACCCTGTCCAAAGGCGTCAGATGAAAGCACAAGCGAGGAGAGGTGGACTTGAATTTAAATAGGTTTGCTTCAAATCTGTTAGAAAGCATTCAAGTGCAAAATGTACATCGCTTTCAGAACTCCAGACTTATTATTAAAAAATAATAAAAAATGTTAGCATTAAATTCCACAAAGTAGCTCAGTTTGTTTAAAATCCTGGACAAATTTCCATGTCCGAAGGCCTTAGAGAAAATCACCAGCAAGTACAGGCGGACCAAACATTACATAATTTTACTTTAAATCTGTTTAAGAAGATCTCAAGTGCAAAATATAAATGGATTTCGGGATTTGAAACTATGCTTTTTTATTCTTTAAAAACAAAAATAAATTGGTAACATGAATACACAAAGTTCGTTTAAAATTCTGGACAGATTTTTGTGCCTAAAGCGGCATAGAAATGCACCAATGAGAACAGGTGGACCAATAATTAAATACTTTAATTATAACGATTAACAATTGTCTAAAATACAGATTGGCTCAGATATTAAAAAAAAAATCAGAACTGATTGAGGAAACACTTTTTATTACTGAATTCCTCCAAATGATAATCATACTAATAATAAGATTTTTTTCTTAAAATACTGTACTGATTTTCATGACAGCAACAGCGAGGAAAGGCGGACCAGAGATTACATCTGGTCGAACAACTATGTACGGTTCGTTGACTCGCATAACTCTCAGAATAATTTTATGATTTAATAAACCCACACAGATTTAATTCGTATAACTTTCATATATGAATAGGAGTGGATTTTTGGCGTTTTGGAAGACGTTTGAGGTGAATTGTTCCTTTTCATTTTCTATATAGAGGGTTTTAGATTAGGATTTGTTATATTTCCTCTGAAACAACGCCGATGGAAATCCGCGTTTATTTTGGAAAATATCCAGTAAGGGTAGAGGAAGAAGACGACTGGAATTAAATGGGATCTCTTTAAAGGCAATTTAAAGCCGACGTTTTGAACTGGAGAAGGAGAGAAATGAATTCTTTGACCCCGCAGCGTATCACAGACTGGATCCACGTTGACTTTATTAAACCGAGATTTTATGCTTTTACCACTTATCCACCCTTATTTTTTGTCATTTAAGATTTAGCAAGACCCTTAATTCTGACCTTGGTCTCCCGGCGTTCAATTTGTATAATTTTCTTTTTCGTAGATACATCGTCCACGCTCCAGCACTTAAAAAACTGTCAGATGGTGTCTTACAAGCCTACTTGCCAAATCTCAGGGCTTTGTAAGTATAATATTTAAATTATTACCTGAAATATTATTTCTTTAGTTTACAGAGAGTAAGAAGAACAAATAACTAACAAAACTAAGCTCTGTTTTGTATAAACTAACTTTCAATATCAAATTTATATAATTTAAATTGTGAAAAATGGAGAATAATTAAAGCATCAAACTCACATTAAATCAATATGATTTATACAAATTACAATCAATTTTCTACTAAGCTTAACCAAAATATTAATGATTTACTGACTGTCACAGCATTCTACATCTAATATCTGTAAAATTGGTTAATATCAATTTTTACAAATTCCATTTACCTACAAAAATAAAGATTTTAATTGATAGGATCAGTAATTGGTATGTGCCAACTCACAATATTTGTTACGAAATAGAATCATATAATAACATATTACAATATAATCTGTAGTGGAAATAGGATTTTATAAAATGAACAAAAATCAGTATCTAGACCTTCAGTATAGAACAGAATGCTGTACCACCATTTTCTAAAATTCTTGCTGATTTGAGTACTTCCTCTCCCAATATACAAAAAAAAGTGCATACCGGTTACAGCTACCATCTCTCCAGGCATTTCTGCATCCAAAGCATGAAATTATAACTTAAACAATCTTAAACGCATTCACAAGTAACTTTTAAAAATGCATTCACGCTAATATATACATTCGTTCAAAACTTTACGGAAGAAGCTAACCAGCACTATACAATGGCTATTGCAAAAAAAAGGAACAGGAAAAGGCAGCTCTGCTCTTGTATCAATCTCATATTGGGTGGTACGCCTACTTGTTCGCTATATAGAGTCAATGCTTGAACTGTCTACTACACGCGAGATTTAGTTTAAAAGTAGTACTTGTTTCATCAAGCAAGGTTTTCGGTGATCAAAAACTTAGTACTCAAGAGCTTATCTGCCTGGTCCAATAACACTGTTATCATTAATGAATTATTTTTTTATTATTTCTATTAACTAAATTCGTAATGCATGTATGTAATATTTTCTATGATAGTTCTTAAAATATTAATAACTATTCGATTTTACATTCTTATTTTATACGATTGGATTGATTCTTTTCCGAACAATTTTAGGCGGATTGTACATTGCGGACTCGAAATTTTACCATACATGGATAAGTTGACAACATACAACCACGTGAGCATACTGTAAGTGACCCAACTCCAAACTTATCCTACCATTCTAAAATAAACAGTTGTGAACATTTATTCTTAATTTATTCTGTATAATTTTTATTAGGAAATTTTTAAACTAATATTATTAATTACGATTTATAACAACTGACAATTACTAGTTATTAGTGCATGAGTGGTCGAGGGTCTTCTTACCACTTATTAACCCAAAAATGATTAAAAAATACGATAAATAAAAACAATTTAGTTTAAAAGACCTATGTTATTTAAATATATAAACTAAAGATATTAACTATAACCTATAATAATTAAAAATATTAGTGCGTAAGTAAAGGAGGCTCTTCTTATCCTTAATCCGTCACCTTTTGCCACGTTACGTTTTAATTGTCTATATTATTTCATTGTAGAAACTAAATATATTAATTACAGCATATAAATAAATATATTATAGCATGAGTGGAAGGGGCTCTTCTTAACCTTTCCATCACTTTTTGCCACCTTTAGGGGTGATGATCAAAAATACTAATTAGCGGATTGAAGTTTGTTTCATTTGTTAAATCCTAATGTTTCTTAGTTACATAAATAAAACATATTTATTACAGCCTAAACAATCAATAACGGAAAATCCAGAACTGAACAAATATGTGTTGAAGTTTGTTTCGTTTCAAAACAGCAAATGTTTTCATGAAACGCTATTACTATGTATGGTTTTTTTTAAATATGTATTGTATTACTAGGTGCAATCTAAACTACAACAATTTGAGGATACATATATTTTTGGTGCACTTCACTCACTAGTTAATAACTATTTATCAGAAAGTAGACCTACTTTTAAAACATTTAAAAAAAAGGCCATTTAGGCTTCAGAAACCTTATAGGATTGTAGGGATGGGATCTGCTGGACAAGGCTTGGGCAAGGATATTGGGGTGATGGGACAGTTTACAGTGAAATTTGGTAGACGTTTGAGGAGTGATGCTGGGTTCTTGTCTGCAGGTTAGTGAACTCATGTTGAACCGGCTGGGCCACTTGTTTGGAAATGAGGAATTAATTTTTCTATAAACAGAATTTTATGGTCATTATGGAGGGTACTATTGAATAGCATTTACAATTGAACCAAGGCCTTTAAACAGAAACAATTGGAAACGTTGGATATTAGAAGGTTTAGCGGTTCCTCACAGTTATATATCGTCCAAATTGATTGTAGCTTAATTCTTATAACAATCGACCAAGCAGGTCTTTTTACATCGAAAAAGACAATACAAAAACTTACGATTGTTTTCGGTGTTTGTATTTTTCTCGAAAGCTAAATAGTTTACGAGCTTAATAGTTATTTCAATCGTCCCAGCAGGCGTGTCGATTTGAGGACATAGTAAAAGATTGTACAATGAGATTTACTTAGGAGTGTAAATATGCATGGATCTATATATCCGACCGTCTGAACCTATACATCCGAATTGTAGATTTGGGTTTAGAAGATAGTTTCAGCTGTGTGACAAGGATGGTAGGAGTATGTGCAGTTGGACCATCTGCGGTATAAACGAAATAGAGGTTTGTTTCAAGCACTCTGTTCTGAGGTACTCCTTGTAAGTAAGAACTGCTCTGATAAATAAGAACGAAAGTTGTGTTTGAAACGTCACGCAAATTTGTACAGAAGAATCTAACGTTTGTGACATATCATGAAGGGCTCTAATAAAATATTCTTTGCTTTCAAAGAAGGAGTATATTCGGTCTACAGCGTAAAACATTTATTGTACTGTGGAATAGTGAGAGCCAAACTGAGGTTTTTGGAGAAGGTTAGAGGAGTTTAATTTTGGTAATATCCTTTTGAGAAGTCCTTTTTAGTCATGATGGGGAGTAAACTAACTGAACAATTTAATCAGGGATGTAATTAGGTTGAAACCTGGGTCCGCTTCGTTTGTTTTGTGCTTTGGTAAGCTAGACAGGATATATTTGACATCTGCGTGCGTGACGGCTGCCAGAGGGGAGAAATAATGTATTCATCAATACCTATTTCGATTGAAACATTGTCGGGCCCAGAATAAGCTGTGAGGAGTTCACGGAGGTGTTGGCTTTTCTTGGTCGGACTTGGCCTAGTCTTCATCGTCTGGACTAAAGGGAAAAAATGAGAATGTGATGTTTCAGGACTTCTTCTCGTGGCTGTCCAGAGTAACCTATTAGTAGGGTAGAAGTGAAAAGGTTTGTTGCGGTGGATTTTCATTTTTTTCCCAATACGGGATTATTTCATGAAAGATTGGCAGTCGGAAGCATGAAAAATGTCGGGCCTGGCAGCCTGCTGGCGAATATATAGAAGTGTTGAAGAGATTCTCATCCTTGCCCAGTTCTCATATGAACTAATGATATTAAAACATATCACAGCCAATTGTTAGGTCCGACTAATGAGTCTCCTTTTGCCTTTTCTCTAAATTTTACAGCCTTTTTCTAAATCCATAAGTATTTCTTTTTATGGCCCTATCCGTTACTGATAACCGGCCAATGTCAGCAGGATGCTTAGGCCGCCAGGGACCCAAGCCCGACAGATCCAGCTCGCTACGAGAGAGGAAAGTTCACTTAAACCTTACTTTTATACTGTGACCTCTTCGGGGATGTGGATAAAAACCATTACATCGAATTTAATATAGAAAAGTCTACATCCTCAGGTCCCAGGGGCTAACATGCCCGGATTCCCCTCCATTAAGTGCATTTTACTTTATCAATCCATATAATTTTATTAAGCCGTAGTTGTTCGATGACAGTTTTGTGTGGGGGTTATTTCACGGTCTAGCAATCATAATCATTACTTCACTCATTATGACTGCAACCGAATATGGGGTTATCATAGTAATTCATGATTATATTCAAATTATACACGTATAATGAAAAAATGCCACAAATTAATTAATACGTCAATTTTCGTAAATGACACTGTTAATATGTCGGGGATTATTTAACCACCGCCTTTTTATTTCTTTTGTTTGGAAATAAATAACAAAAATAGAACTGGTCTTTTACGTAGAATCAGAATCTGAAGCTATTTTTTTTCATATTTATGTTGCCTGTTATATTTAATGTTGCCTAAATATGACGTGGTTTTTACACTTATGTCTTGACGATGTCATTTAAAGCCAGTGGTTCTGAAAATTAAATGGATATCAATGTCACAATATAAGAATTTTAACTCATGATGAGAATAAATTCGCAGAAACTTTTTTTTATCTCTTACATTTGATACATTTGAATACACTCCCTTTGACAGGCCCATGTGGGTTGTATCACAAAGAAGACTCACGATGCCTCAGCTCGTGTCACCTACAAAACCAACGGGGAACGAAGACTGGAAAATTTAAATTTAACAATAAAGTATACAAATTTCGTGAAGTCACTCAAATTTTTTTGCTTTGTGAAGAAAAAGGTTGATTTAGGTCCATGGAAGTCCACTTTTGGAAAATAGGATTATCAACTTCTGTATTGTACAAATTTGATGGAGAGTATAAAAATACAAATTCCCTGCTCTTTCGTCTTTAACGATTAAACCCTCTCCTACTACTTCAACCGTTTTTGCGGGCTATTTTAACAAGCGCCTTTTCATAATTGGGTCCTGTCTGCTCATAACTCCATTAATCCGGGAGAATGTTTAAAAAGATATTAGGCAGTCGGAGTTATCGATCAATGACTGAATAACCATTTATATTCAACTTGCATTTAAAGAGAACTCAATAATGTAGCATTACTTAGAACTCGTCCATTTCACCCATTTCAATGAGATTTGTACTAAAACATTTTGTAATATTTCGATCTCATGATGTGCTTCGTTTATTTATTTTTGTGGAAAAGTTTATTTATTTAGATGTATTGAATGGTGATTCTTCTTTATATGTTTGTACTGCCAAAATATCCACTTGTTCTAAAAATTGTTGACATTCGAATCTAAACACCCAATTTATTTACCGGATATTTTATTTCGTCAATTGCTTATATGGTTATTCCCCAAGGCATTAATTAATTATTAAGCTTAGATCTTCAATACGGCTTGCGTGATTAAGCCGAGGATAAATGGTTAAAAAAATTATTGATGTTTAAACCAAAAATTATCGTTTTTGTTTATTTCCCAGAGGTTTCGAGTTATTCCTTGATTGACTATTAAGCCTAGACCTCCAAAACCGCTTTTTAACATGCACAAGCTTATATTTAAATCAAAAATTACTTGTTATGCTATAAATGTTTGGTATTGAAGCCAGAAAGTATCTTTGTTTTTATTTCTTAGAACATTTGAGTTATTTCTGAATCTTTTAATCGATTATTGAACTTAGATTTCCATAACTGCTTGTCCAAAAGTACGATATTTAAGCGAAAGGTCACTTGTGATTCTACAAGTTTTCAATATTTAGGACAAAAATTATAGTCTTTTATTTTCAACAACGTTTTAGTTCCATAGGTCAATTGCTAAGTTTCTAATTCATTAATATTTACCGACTGGTCAGAGTTTTCGGATTATACGTGGTACCTCTTAAGTGGTTTCTTCAAGCTTAGATCTCCAAAATTTCTAGTTATCGAAAAGAATGAATAATCAAGTTAAAAATTCTAATATTTTGTTAGTGTACTTAAAGGTTTTGGGTTTTTCATCGAGTTTTTAATTAATCTTTAAGGTTAGATTTTGAAAATCACTCGTCATTAATTGAGTATTAATCTTAGATCTCCAAAATCTGTTGTTATCTGGTTGATTGTTACGCTTAGACTCCCCAAATTTCTGTTGTTCCATAATTATTTGCTAATTAAATTAAAATTCAAATATATTTGTTCATTTGCCGGAGGTTTAGGGTTATTCGTCAGGACTCTAGTTAATCATTAAGTTCACTAATTTCGTAGTCCGCTTGACCAATTAATATATTACTATTAATTAAGGTTTTTAGTTGAGATAAAAAAGTCAATGGCACGACCGGGATTCGAACCCACGATCTTCGGCTAGATTGAACCCCCCTTTTGAATTTTCCCTCCTTTTTGCCATTTTTCAATATAAATATATAAATGATTATTAATTTAGATTAGCAAAGTTTATAATGTTTCCACAATTGTTCGAAAATGAAGTAAAAATTCGAATATTTTTGTTCGTTTATCAGACGTTTTCGGTTACTCATCATGGCTGTAATTGATTATTAATCTTAAATCCCCAAAATTTACGGTTTTTCCAAAATTGTGTGATAATCAATTCACAAAATTGTTGTCTTTTCATTTATCAGAGGTTTTGGGTTATTCATTAAAGTTGTAATTCATTATTAAGTTTAAATTTCCAAAATTGTCCGTTATCTATTTAATTATTATACTTAGATCGCCAAAATTTCTAGTTCTTCCAAAATTGTTTGCTAACCCAGCCAAAAATTCGAATTTTATTTCGAATTGTTCCATCTTTCTTGATCAATAAATATATTTGAAAGATTCATTAAATTACTTTTTTAAATACTGAAACAACCTGCATTCAAATGGGCAAATTGTACCGAATTTTTACATGGTAAAGTACGTCTTGGGATAAATAGAAAAAGGTCATAATGTTTTGGATGGATTCTATAATATTACATTCCGTAGTTGCATAAATCTTTATTTTTTATGACATTGATCGTTTTTTTTTGTTCCAGAGATCTTGAATCCAATATGATAACAAGGCTGAATAGCAATCACATAAAAATTCGAGCGGATCAATTGTAAGCGATTTCATTTTCCTTTTAATATATTTTCTTACATAATCCATGATTCAATGAAGCAATCAGTTCTAACGCGGAAACGATTTTCTAGAATCCTGAACTACAATCAAATCCAGGAAATCGAAACGGACGCTTTTCACGGCTCACAAATCTCAATCTTGTAAATGACACAATTGCAAAATTATTGATTTTATTCGGAAATTTGATTTAATTTTTTTTATATCAAATACATTTTTTCAGGACTTTAAGAGGCAATAAAGAGTTGACAACGCTTCATACTAACAGCTTCAGAGGGATAACAAGTTTAAGGATGCTGTGAGATTTTATTTTCAAGCCCTCAATTGTTTTTTAAATAATTAAAAACGAAATATTTTTCTTTTTCAGGGATTTATCGGAAACGTCGATATTATATCTGCCGATCAAAGGACTCCAGCACCTTGAGATTCTGAAGCTGCAAAACGTCAGGTCGCTCACCATGTTTCCGTCGATTTACAATTTCCAGGCAAGTTAAACCCAGAAAGGGGTGAGAAAAAGGCCCAACTGTCAAAAATGTATCGATCTCAACCAACTGATATATATATATATATATATATATATATATATATATATATATATATATATATATTTTGTTTTGCACTCTAACCCTATTGAGCACTGGATAAAGACCGATTGAAATTTCTCTCATATCAACATCATAAAAAAGCCACATATGCCTAAATCAACACAGCTGTTTTTTGTTTTTCCGCCCAACTGGATCTATATAATTTTCACATTTATTTTATTATTTTAAAAATTGAAACTTTAAAAATAATCCAATTTCTCCTGTCTGTAAAGTTATTTTTTCAGAAATCAAGACTTTTAATGCTCGAGTATACGCGTTCATACAAATTGTGATTAAATAAGCTCCTTCAATCTTCAATCTTAATTAAAATACCAAGTCCAATAGAATTTAAAGTTTAAAGTTAAGGGGTTTTTGCGATCATGTGTTTAAATTTCTTTCATATATTTTTCCCATTTCATGTCATATACATTACATTTTGTTATGTTACGAGACATATGTTAAGTGATGTTTGGATTGGAAGATATTCTAATTTTTATTGAAGTTAAGACGTCTTAATTGATTAAATTAATAGGATTAAATTTCAACAGGAAGAAACTGTTATTAGATTCTACTGGTTTAGTATTAGATCGGGTTGGCCCAGTCTTGAACTGTTTAAAACCAATGGGAAATTATTCTACCCTTTCCAAAGCTTTGAATTACATTTTCCTTGCGTCAATTTTCTACTATTTCTGCTGGAATAATCAAAGTATATTGCACGACGAAGGTTTATTTTTAAAGAAACTAATGTTTTAAGTAAAGAATACTATTTATCTCTGGTGGGTGACATATTTACTCTTAAATTACAGTTATAAAAAGTAAAATTGGGAATTTTACTAATAAGTGAAATTAATCAATCGTTAGTGGTAACAAGTTTATTTTTGAGAGCTAAGTTGCGTAGGTATTTAGTAATGCATACAACAATTATTATCTCGTTAATTTAGACTTCCTCTACGTTATCTTCATCCTCGTCGAATTCACCGGCTTCTTCTGCAGTTGCGTCTTGGTATTGTTGGTATTCTGATACCAAATCGTTCATGTTGGACTCGGCTTCTGTGAATTCCATTTCGTCCATACCTTCTCCGGTATACCAATGCAAGAATGCTTTCCTTCTGAACATAGAGGTGAACTGTTCCGAGACTCGCTTGAAGAGTTCTTGTATAGCCGTTGTGTTTCCTATGAATGTCGATGCCATCTTAAGCCCCCTGGGTGGTATGTCGCACACGGCCGTCTTGCAGTTGCTCGGGATCCATTCGACGAAGTAGGACGAGTTCTTGTTCTGTACGTTGAGCATCTGCTCGTCGACCTCTTTCATCGACATCCTCCCTCTGAAGATTGCGGCCACGGTGAGATAACGTCCGTGCCTGGGGTCGCACGCAGCCATCATGTTCTTGGCGTCGAACATCTGCTGGACCAGCTCGGGCACTGTCAGAGCTCGATACTGTTGAGAGCCGCGGGAAGTCAGAGGCGCGAAGCCCGGCATGAAAAAGTGCAATCTGGGGAAAGGCACCATGTTGACGGCCAATTTCCGCAGGTCCGAATTCAGCTGACCTGGGAATCTCAAGCACGTCGTGACTCCGGACATAGTCGCGGATACCAAGTGGTTCAAATCGCCGTAAGTCGGAGTCGTGAGTTTTAGAGTTCTGAAGCAAATATCGTACAACGCTTCGTTGTCGATGCAGAACGTTTCGTCGGTGTTTTCCACCAACTGGTGAACTGAGAGCGTAGCGTTGTACGGCTCTACTACCGTGTCCGAAACCTTCGGCGACGGCACGATGCTAAAAGTATTCATGATTCTGTCGGGATACTCTTCCCTTATTTTGGATATGATCAAGGTCCCCATGCCCGAGCCAGTGCCTCCGCCCAATGAATGCGTGAGTTGAAAGCCTTGCAAGCAGTCGCAACTCTCCGCCTCTTTCCGTACTACGTCCAGGACGGAGTCGACGAGCTCGGCCCCTTCGGTGTAGTGGCCTTTCGCCCAGTTGTTCCCAGCTCCGGCCTGTCCGAAAACGAAATTGTCCGGACGGAAAATCTGGCCGAAAGGGCCGGATCTCGCGGAGTCCATGGTGCCCGGTTCGAGATCCACGAGAATGGCACGCGGCACGTACTTTCCACCTGTCGCCTCATTGTAATAGACGTTGATCCTCTCCAACTGCAAATCGCTGTCTCCGTGATATGTTCCAGTCGGGTCAATGCCGTGTTCATCCGAAATAACCTCCCAAAACTTAGCTCCAACTTGGTTGCCACACTGGCCTGCTTGGATATGACAAATTTCTCTCATTATTAAATCTTTCTACGACTTTAAAATTCCACTTGTTCAGCACAATTATCTAAACAGAATAAAAAGACAAGATTTTTTAAAGCTTTTCGAAATGGATAACGAGTTGGTTACGATTACATTATCCCAGTCTTGACTGTATAAATCGACAATTTCTTTTTAATTTGCGCGTTGGTTAACCGCTCGTTCATTTTTCAATAATGCACTAGTTGCCCTATGACTTTGACATTATTATTGGTGAAAATTAATTAAGAATTGTCCATTTAGAAGGATAATGAAAAAAGTAAAAACTAATTATCTATTAGATGTTATTTCTAAATACTAATGTCAAAACAATTAAAAATTAATTATACATTAAGACAATATAATAGCCTTGTAATTATAGTCTTTTTGCTATTATTATTATTATTACTATGGATATTTTTATTATATCATTTGTTAGGTCTATATTTGGAGGTTTTTTAATACAATTCTTAATTGCACGTTGCTTTGGCATTTTTATGTCATAGCCATGCGTAATTTTTATTATTATTTTTTTTTTTTTTACTTTAAAATGTTCACAAAATCATCAAAAATAAAATAATAAAATAAAAATGAACATGAATAAAGGTAAATGTAATTTATTATAATCTACTTTATACAGCCAATCACATGTCGAGGGTTTCACTTTCCTACTCTATGTTATATTTTATGTTTTTGTATTTATGTTGTGGACGTGCTAACTTAAAAAAAAATCACGGATGGTGATGGCACAAAAGATGCATTTCACGAAAGTTGGGGATAAAACCAACAAAAGTAGACCTAACAAACGACATAATAAAATATACAATAATTTCTTTCAATTAATTAATCTTTATGTAAGGTTGAGATAAAAAAAGTCATTGTCACGAGCGGGATTCGAACCAACGATCTTCGGCTAAATATTTTTCTATATTCCAAAATAATTTACTGTTTGTACAAAAAGGGAAGACCTGGGATAAGACATTTAAGGTTTTAATAGAGGTTTCTGTTGAACGAAATAAGTCATTTGATCATACATAGTAATTTCTTTCAATTAATTAATCTGTATTTAAAATATTGGTTGAGATAAAAAAATCAGTGTCATGAGCGGGATTCGTACCCACGTCCTTCGGCTAAATACGCCGCTGCTCTACCACTTGAGCTATCGTGACTTGATCCGCTCGGACACTAACTTCCCATCTCAACCTCTCCTCTCGAATTTTCCCTCCTTTTTTGCCATTTTTCAAATGTCGTGTAATCTGATTCTCGGCGACAAATGAAATGGCCACGGAGAGCTTTCGTGAAGATATACTTCAGTTTAATTATTAAATCCATTACAGTTTGTGGTCCGATTGGCCAATTAACTTTTTTCAATTAATTAATCTTTAATTAAGGTTTTGGTTGTGATAAAAAAGTCAGTGTCACAAGCGGGATTCGAACCCACGACCTTCGGCTAAATACACCGCTGCTTTACTACTTGAGCTATCGTGACTTCGATGGATACCAACTTCCCATCTCAACCCCACCTTTCGAAATTTCCCTTTTTGCCATTTTTTTATCTCAACCAATACCTTACATAAAGATTAATTAATCTTATTAATTAATTGAAAGAAGTTATTTGTCAATCAGACCACGAATTCTAATAATATATAATATATAATAATAATAAAATATAATTAATGTGACCGTTAAAGCACAAAGGACAGTAATTATGGTTCACCACCATTTTCATTCCATCGATTTAATTTAGATGAAATGATGCCTTTAGTTATTTTCTATAAAATGACATTTTGAATTTAATTTTAATATTTCTAACATGATTTGATTAGATTGATAAAAATTGGGTTTTTTATGAGTTTTTTTTCGTCAAAAGTGTATTTTATACGTCAAATAATTTGGAATGGAATAACTCTTGGTTATTGTTTTTCATCTAGAATTTTTCTTGTTTTAAATAATCTATTATGGCCTGTTTGGTATCGCTAGTTATATCATGACCTGACCTGATTTGAGCAGGGCACGAAAAAATAGCAAAATCAGTGCCAAAATTGGTTATTTAACATAAGAAATTTTTCTTATAAGAAATAAAGAAAATTCTGCTTGATTAAAATTTTACCAAAAATTGGCTTAGAAATTTATAGCCTGTTTTGCACCGATTTATCAAGACTTAATAAACTTTTAAAAAAATCAAAAATTACAACTTACATGTTTCAAACTTCGGTCTCTACAGTATCTACGTGAAAACGAGCAACGAACCTTTCGACAACTTTTATCGAACTTTTATTTTACAATTCCTAAGAAAAACAGGTAAGTAGGCTGATGCTTCAACAACTAAACAATAAAATAAAATGACGCGATCTTTTTTTTTTTTTTTACATCAGCCGTTTAATTAAAACAATATGTACAAATTTTCACAGCAAGTCCGTTATGAAAGTTAATGTAAAGCGTGGCCGGATGGGTATTTTCCACTTTCCAGAGCCGTTATCTCTATATTGAATAACTTGTAAATGCTTGCTATTATCCATCTTAGTAATAATGTTCATTCTTTCATTTCATTTTATTGGAGTTCTCTATTATTTTTTTTACACTATCCCATATGATAATATTCACTTAATGCAAATGAAGCAAAAACAATTTTTGATTTCAAATATTTCCTCCTTAAAAAGCTTGATTTTTAAATAAAAATAGCACAGAGAGCTCAGGGAGAATTAACACTTGGTTGTTTTCATTTTTGTGATCTGGCAGTATTCAAAATCCATTTAATTTAGATTTTCAAGATTTGATCATTACTTTCGCCGGCTTGCAAGAAAGCCGGCATAACCTCCTAAACTAATTTGCGTAAACATTAATTAATCAACACAGAAATGAGGCCGTTAAGATTTGGAAGCATAAAAACCATAAAATTCAAAAGGTCTACTTAAGACGTACAGACTTAAACTTCCAAAATCTACATTCTTTTTCTTTTGTTTAGAAAATCGTTTTTCGCCAAAATGTACAATTTTATATTGGTCGGTTTTTTTTTTAATATTACAATCAGGATGGCTTTTGAGAAGTCCGAATTTACTGCATATCCAAACAAATGGAAGAAGATTTGAAGATCACAGATTTTTTTTTTTTTTTTGCTTCATCCAGAGGATATTTTGCCAGATTTTTGAACCCTCTACGAGGCAGTGAGGGGATCATGAAGGGAGGTCCGACAGCGGCACCGGAGAAACCACGGGGTATCCACACCAGGTGCGGGAAGCGGAGTTTATCTACAATTATTTTTCCTTTGTCTCATTTACGGGATGAGCATGCACTGCGTTCACCCTAATCCCTGAAGACCGGGGTTCGTTTCAACCAAGAAAGCGGCCATATGCGGACCCCGGAGCCCCGGGCCCAACCCCCGGCCACCTTACCCCCAACCACATCCCTGTATTCAATGATTGTCCATAGAATAAATTTTATTCTATTCTTCATTTAAATGATTTTTGTACGCTCATATTAATAGATTTTAAGAATTTGTATAGTAAGTCAAATACAGATACATTGTTACAAGCTAGTAATGTACTAAGATTGAAAGGTTTGGCATCGCTTTCGTTTGAGTTTTGTAAATAGAATTTCCCGTTGCTCTTCGAATTCTGGGCTTAAGGTAGATACCGGTGTCACATGTAGAACAATTCGCTGATGAACTTAAACCTATTTCGAAACGATAGCTTCCCCAAAGACCATCATTTGTCTTCAGCCTCAAAATAGTTGAGTAAAATTATTTTGGTCTGCTCCACAAAGAGGACTATCGTTTTTTAAGGAGTTTTGGGAACAAAGGTAACGATATCCAGCTGATGCCTGATTATAATTTTTTTGCCAAAGTTCGTGACATAACTTATAGAAGAATTTTTTGCCATCTTTTTTAGGAATTTTTATATGCAGGGAAAATACTGGCAAAGTAGCTTCCTAGAACCGACCACGATTTCATTCTGTCGTATTCCAACATGACCCTTAACCCAACAAATTACCACAGAGTTTTCCAAACGTTTTAAGCTTACATATTTTTTATAAATATCTATTAGAATGTAATTACAGTTCTCATAGTTCAGGGAAATTTTTTTTTCGTTGATACTTCGTAGAGAGGTCTATCTATAGCTGTCAATTCAGCTGTAAATATGGACGCTGAATTTGCTAGTGCGTACTGTTCTGTATGATAGCTTTTAGGAACATGGAAAGGACATCCACTATTTCCCTTCAATAAAGTCCCATCTGTGAAACCAATAAGGTGGTAAGGGAAACGCTCTGCCATATCTGCCAGAAATGTTATTTGAGCAACGTCTGGAATCAATTTAGTGTAATTTTTAAGTACTCAAGTACCTACTTTGCTGAATACTGCTTTGTATTGTAAGCTGTATAGTGGTCCGGTATACGTTTATGTAGATAAAATATGTATATAGGGAATAGAACAAAGGAAAGCTGAAACAAGGTAGCTCCCTATTTCTTCCTTTTCCGAAAGGGGCAAGTTTGAACTTTTCAGTGTGTCAATATGTTCATAAAACGTTGGTTATCCATACTGTAAAGTTTTATTAGGAAATTTAGAGAAAGTTTAATCTTCTACGTTCTAAAGGCAGCCTCAGCAGCTACAAGCTTCAGCAGACATGAAGATCACTGAAAATATGGCTTAAATATAAAACACAGTCACATCAGACGGATAGTTGGACGATAAATCCTCCTGTCGGAGAATTACTTTATAAGCTTACTGTTCAGTTGAGTTTTCGAAGCATTTATTGAAAATTTCATAATTTTTCTTACAGTACATCACGAAGGTCTACCTCACCTACGCTTACCATTGCTGTGCGTTCCATTTCCCCAGCCGACACGATCCTGAGAGATTCGCCAAGCACGAGGTATACCGATCGACCCCTATTACCTTCGATTCGACCTTTACGAATTCGTTTTCTTTGTAGGACATGAAGTTGAAAATGAAGGAGAACTGCAGTAGGACGACCAGGGTCAAGAGGGACTGGGGAGCACCGATTCTTCAAACAATTGATACGAATTTCACAGACAGTTCGGAAAAAGAACAGGAAATGTACAACGGATATTTTACGGACGAGTCCTTCGGTCAGGACGGAATCACAGTCGGGCCAAAAGTGATCGCACTCTGCGGAAACATATCGAAGGACTATCGCAAGGTCGAGTGCTATCCCGAGCCGGATGCTTTCAACCCTTGCGAAGATTTGATGGGCAACTGGACACTGAGAGTCGCAGTCTGGCTGGTCGCAATCGCTGCACTTGTAGGTAAGATGGATTCTTTGTTTTTGTTTAACCACCACAAGGACCTATTGAACGTCAAACACACTCTGGAGGAGTATGTTTTCACTTTAACATTTTTATTAACCCATCTTTTTTCCCGTTCGGAGTCGTAGGAATTTCGGTTTTCCAATATACTTAGCCTATTCCTATGTAATGCAGGCAATTTCATAAAATATGTTTTATCCGTACGTAACCTATCAGACATAACTATGTCATTCTTTTTTCCGCCGGGCTTTTGACATACCCATTGCTTAATTAAAGCTCTTTTATGGGTTCTCTTAAGGTCCGCATTCCATGTTACCCGGTCAAGAGCTACTCGTGCGTATGTAATTTCTTTGGAAAGTATTATTTCTTGGTTTCCTATGGTTAGAGATGTAAAATTTAGCGTCTTTTTCCTGGTAAATGGCACTATTGTTGCCTTTGAGGGTACCCTTTCAGTGTTAAATTCAAGTTCACTAATTTCGTGGTCCGCTTGACCAATTAAATCATTATAATTAATTAAGGTTTTTAGTTGAGATGAAAAAAAGTAAATGGCACGAGAGGGATTCGAACCCACGACCTTCGGCTAGATACGCCGCTGCTCTCCCACCTGAGCTATCGTGACCTCGATCCACTCGGACATCAACTCCCCATCTCAACCCCCGAAGGTCGTGGGTTCGAATCCCTCTCGTGCCATTTACTTTTTTTCATCTCAACTAAAAACCTTAATTAATTGTTAAATTTAAGGCTTTTTGCATGATTCGACCAGGGTTTAGTCGCTGATCGACATTGTCACTAATTTTTATGGTTTGTTAAACCCATTATATTTAGCTTATCTAGGAGGTCGTCCATTACCAGTGTCCGTAAGGTTGGCGACAGTAGTCCTCTTTGGGAACCTCCAGCCTTTCCCAGTTATATTTTGTTGGAATTTCCCCGTGCTGTAACTTTTTGCTAGGGTTTTCAGTAACATATAATACAACTTGGCCAAACCTACGTAAGCTCTGCTCTGCCACTCCGAATATTTCCATGTGCCAATTGAGTCGGCCATGTCCAGTCAATAGACTCAATAATCCTATTTTTTCTCGCTTTGCTTCAGCAGCTCTATTGTAAGTTCAGGAGAGACATTCTTGACGAATTCATATGCCTGTCCCAGGACTAGAGGTTTGTTCCACTAGGTATGAGTTTCTAACTTGATCCGTTCGATTCCTTTTTTCACAGTAAGTTGGTGAAAGTTGGATTTTGATAAGGTACAGACGAGGTCACCTCACTGCAAGCTGAGCTTCTAATGAAAATTTGAGTTACTGGCGAATTGCGTATCAGGGCAGTGGATAGACCGATGATTATTGATTCCGTGAATTCTGTCATTTTCGAACTTTGTTTTGTATATTGCCTGTTGTGTCACAGCCGACTTAACAGGCAATTAAAAAAAGTCCAATAAACAAATCAGAAGTTTAGGCGAGACTTTTTTAACAAAGTCCTTGGGCTACGGTGTCGTTCCTCCAGGTGTAAGTCTTTAACTTGATCCAATCTGAAATTTCTCTCTTTTTATTGTTATTTTTAATTTTACAACATGTTTCTGGTCCTGCGGTTACTGAGGAACCCTCTCTGGCTATTTTTTTAATCCCCTTTGTTAACACTCTAGGTAGTTTGTTCTCTACCTATTCTTCCTAGTACATCCCATAATTTCTGAGATTTTACAAATTTAGATCAGTTCTTCTTGCTTCTCCCTGAAAGATGTGTAGAAGTGTTTTAGTAACATTATTTGGACAAAGTATAATTCTCATAGCTCCTGCGATACTTCTTTGGTTACCACTTAAAAGCCTTTCTAAGTTGGCTGCAGAGATTTTTTCATCCTACAGGTTTTTTCAATATTCAATTTCAACGCAGTCATTTTATGTTCGGACAAAAAATACTATTTTATTATTGTATCTTTCAATAATGGCAACAAAAAAACATTAAAAACAGTTCATAATCATAATAGAAACTAGAAGAAATTTGTCGAAATTTGATTTAAGACAATTTCTGTGAATTGGCAGGTAACACGGCAGTGCTTTTGGTCCTTCTAAGTTCTCGATTCAGGATGACGGTACCCAAATTTCTCATGTGCAATTTAGCCCTGGCGGACTTGTGCATGGGCGTGTATCTGCTCATGATCGCTATCATGGACGCCAAGTCGATTGGCGATTACTTCAACGCGGCCATAGACTGGCAGAGTGGTAAGCTAGTTCAGTGAAGCAATTCGGGGTATTTGATGAAAAGTTTCTTTTTAGGGCTCGGTTGCCAGGTAGCTGGCTTCTTAACCGTCTTCTCTAGCGAACTGTCCGTCCTCACACTGACGGTTATAACGACTGAAAGATGGTACACGATTACTTACGCTATCCACATGAACAAGCGACTCAAATTATCGACAGCTGTCAAAATCATGGCTGCCGGATGGGTATATGCTATCATCATGGCTGCTTTACCGCTCATGGGAGTTAGCGGATATTACAAAACAAGGTACGTTTGGTCATGTCTTAACAGTAAGTACGTCGACACTTTATTTGCCGCGTATTGACCGTGTTTTCGAACGATCAACTTGCAGCATATGTCTCCCGTTTGAAAGCAGCACTGCCATCGACTTGGCATATTTGATCACACTCTTGGCGTTCAACGGTATCGCTTTCTGGGTCATATGTCTGTGCTATTCTAGAATGTACTGTTCGATCAGAAGAGGACGAGAACCCGGTGGACCGGCTTTAGTTCATTCGGACATGACAGTCGCAAAACGGATGGCACTTCTTGTAAGTACACCGTTTCAAAATGAACCGAACGCTCTTTTCACCCGGCTTTATTTCAGGTCTTCACGGATTTCGCTTGTTGGGCCCCGATTGCGTTTTTTGGACTCACAGCGTTAGCAGGGTTGCCGTTGATCGACGTGACCAAATCCAAGATTCTGCTCGTTTTCTTCTATCCGTTGAATTCTTGCGCCAATCCTTACCTTTACGCTCTGCTCACGCATCAGTACAGGAGGGACGTTCTCATCATCCTGAGCAGGTGAACGGACAATTTACATCCGGTTTAACAGATTATACTGAACTTTACGTTTACAGATACGGGATATGTTCGGATAAAGCTGCGAGGTACAAAATCACGGCAACAGGACGTGGACCAGGGGGACAGGGCCAAGGTGACGACGCGAGAGGACAGAGAGCTGGAAGAGGTTCACTCCTCACCACGCTCACCTCCTTCGACTGCACGAGGCAACCCTCGTTGGGCCCGCTGCCCGAGATCTCCCTCGGCGTGCAGAACGGGACGTCTACCGTCTGAAAACTGGGTTTAACAATCGACTCTTTCTCTTTAAAAGAACAAGCCGATCCATAGATTGTTGACTCATCCTCCACAGGAATCGTTTTTTAAAACTGTGTTCTGACATCACATAAAACAGAACACGCTTGGTGTCGGGTTACTAATGGTTTAGGGGAAATACATCGAGTGCATTTTATGATTTTATAATGGGTACAAATAATCCAATAATAATTTAATATATTGATATTTACTTTTTAAAAAAAGCAAAGGTGATGGACAAAATTTTCGAAAATTATTTTATTTATATTGAAGAGATCTTGCTTGCTTTAATTTCTCATATTATATTCTGTTTCTAACACTGTAGCACGGAACAACATATTCTGTTGCGACGTAACATTTCTAACGACCTTTTCTACTCAAAGGACACGTGCCAATATTAATTTACTTCAAAAGAACACAAAATAAGTTAGTCGTTAATTAAATTAGCTAGAAAAAATTTGAAATTATGCTCTTTTATAACACTTAAAATATAGTACTAACAAAGACGCTAACTGGTTATAAAAACTAGTTTTATTGAGTAAAAAATACAATTTTTAATTATTGTATAAAATGCAGAAATTATAAGAAGTGGTGGGATCTTTACGTTTATTAATCTATCATTAAATAAGTCTATATATTTAAATATATACATATTAACTTGTGCAAAATTCAAAAATAATGTTAAAATAACATTTAAAAATGTATTTTAAAAAAATTATAAAAGTTTTATGAGAAAGCGATAATATTTAAATTACTATTGATATTCCTTAGTTGCGCTGGACAAAAAGATGATTCAATAAAATTATATGAAATGACTATTTCCATCTTGATAACATCCGAAAAGCGGCTTTGTCGTTTATGTCCGGGCTTCGCCTACAAAGTCTCAATAAGTCTCTCCCAAATGGAACTCCTAACCAACGAAATTCACTGACTGACCTGATTTGGAACCAAATATTTACACTACTCGCCCTCGACTGTTGCTGATCGCATTGTTTATTAGTTCAAGGTTCTTTTTATTGGAATACTTAACAAATACAAGTTTGAAATTGAGGTGGTTTTTTTTTCTTAGTTAAAATTGAGGACGGCGATAAATGGTAATCGGTTATCGAGGGAGTGTGCAACTCCCCTTGGATGTAATCGCTCAACAAGCAATCTGAAGCTTCCCCGCAAGATTTAACGCTCATATCAAACATTAATAAAACTTCATTCACTAGGAAAATTAAGCGCGAATGAAATTGATCGGGAAATATCAATGTAGCATTTTTTCAAGCACAAGTCTGAATCTGGTAAGGTCTGAAACACTTTAAATTGTCAATCAATTTTTTTTTAAATATTACCAATCAAACATATCAAGATTTCCAGCATCATTTCAAATTAATCTTTGTTGAAAGGTTACATATAAAAAATGACAACGGAACCGTTCTTATACATTGGATGGAGTGTACATGATTTTACTCGTTTTTAATTTGAATCAAATATATTGTATTCTTCTTGACCAATTGATTTTTTTTTTTTTTTTTTTGGGGGGGGGGTTTACGCTGACTTATTACCCATGAAGTTTTCTATTTTCATTTTACTGTCGAGCGGGATCGGCCAATTGACTTAAAACTATAAATAATTTTTAAAAAAAGGGGAAAAGGGCAGGAAATGGTTTTATAAAAGGCCGAGTTTCTTTCCTAGTGTTGAAGCTCTATGAGTACTTCCGTTTTTCTCTCGGAAAAGAAGAAAACTCAGTCAGCAGAGAAAAATTAAAATTGACGATTTCCAGCTAAAGTTTTTTCTTTCAGAATATTTTCAACGCTGGACTATTAGAAATTGGCTTCCGGGATTTATTTAAAGAAAAGGATAATTAAAGTGGTGCGTGTGCAAACGGTTGCGTTGTGGACATCTCCATTCTCTCAAGCTGAATCAGCATTGTTCAGGGTGTCTGGATAATACAGCCAAGGGATGTTATGAAATATAATATCTTCTTATTGTGCCGTCGTTTTCGATTTTGGCCTGCCTAGCCTTCCTATTTTAGACTAATCACTGTCAGAATAAGCACGTTTGTTTTCCAGACTTCAAGGAGATATACTTTAATCATACCTGACCTTTCGGCAATGCACCACCCAGGTTGCTTTTTCATCTTACGTTCCGATTAATCATGGTGTCCTACCGGGGAACAACTTCAGGCTCTTATGATTCACTATATGCCCAGACCACCTGCTCTCGGTAGCCCCTATCCAACTCCAACTGAACCAACTCGATTTCGACAATCGACACTAACTCCAAATTGCTGTTCATTAATCCAGCAGTTTTCCCGCCCTTAAGTCCCAAAAATTGTCTGAAGCAGATATGACAAGGACATCTTAGAGACCGGCAAAATGCGAGAGATGACCCAGATACATTTTATGTATCTGCTATAAACATTCTGGCACAGATCTCTACCAGAATGTTCCAGAATATCTCCCACAAGAAGTAGAGCTGTCGTGTGCGGGAAAGAGGGCTTTACTCAGTTCAATCATGGCCTCTCTCTCTCTCTCTCTCGGACTCAGATTCCAACCCAGACTCGGAATCTTGAGAACCGATCTGAGTCTTATACTCTGAACCTCCACTACTCATTCTAGACTAATAACAATAATAAATAATAATAACAATTCGCAAATTTATTAACGATTAATCAATTTATTCAGAATTTTATTTTAAAAGAATAAAATTTTACCTTATAATATAATAATTGTTCTTTAAAAAATCCCATTAATTTTAATTTATTGTCAACACCTTAACCAAATCAAATATCTCATTTGTATACGGCGCATTTGATGTAAATACTAAAATATTTGTGTAAATAATACTAGTCAGTTAAAGTTAAAAAAATAGTCGTCTTTTAGGGAAAACCTTTTATATATATAATTAGTAATATCCCTTACTAAAATTGAACATATCAATTATGACCAACTTACGACCAATTCGAAAATGAAATATTTCAATTCGCCCAATGACACCTACATAAAAATTAAATTACTCGAAACCCTAGAGGCTATGTTGAAAAGTAATGAATTCCTCCCTTATGTAAATATGTAATGTTAGCGTGTTCCCATTGAATTTACATTGACTTTGACAGTGTGATTTCATTTAGGTTCGAAAACTTTTGAGCTTGAAATGTCATTTTGTTTCGACCCACAAAACAAAGTTGGGCTGTGTATGTTGTTTTACTACCATCAGCATTATCTATGTGTATAAAAAATGTGTTTTGTAATAAAATCATTTTGCAAAGAATTACTTTTAATTCCGTTGTTATTACCCTCTTCTATACCTCGAGACATTCTTCAAAAGACATAGTCTTTTTTACAACAATTCGCAATACCATTCTATGTACCACTTTCTCTCTTACGAAACTACTTCGTTATCATTTTCTCTTAAAGCTCACGACTACATGCCACCCCACAGACCTATCAGCCTGTGATGTGCAAAATACTCGAAACATCCTTTTAAAACGTTTAATACCCATCTAATGTTTGCATAAAATCATTCCTCCTCACCAATTCGTTTTCTGTCTTCATCAATCCAAGATCCAGCAAGGTTCAGAGTTGTTGACATCATTTCCTCCGCGCTAGAGAACAAAGAGAATACCAGGAAACCAGAAAAGTTCGTTCGGTTTTCCATTTGTTTTTGTTTTAATACCGTTAATCAAAATATCGGTTTGCATATAAGGATTGGGAGCATAATGCGTCAGTTCATAAAGAAAAAATCTCTTGAACAATTGATTGTAAATTATAAAATATTTTCTGTCTCATGGCTTCATAAACCATATGTCATGGGTGCTTATTGTATGAATTTATGCTCGGTACTAGGGCGTCCAAGACAGCTCGTAAATTTGCACTGCATTAAGTAATGAAACAATAAGTGAGCGCACTGCCCAAAAGTGGTTTGTGGTGTAACCACCATACCCGCTAGATGTCACCACCAGTTGTCTCCCCCTCCACTCTGCAGTCAATCAGGGTAGAACCATTTCGTATATAGGGTGCTGTGCACGGGTACTGCCCCACTGACTTCAGACTTGTCTCCCCGACGCGATCTCACTGCATACTTTGAGGCTTGAGCCTCGTCTACTCGACGACTCGACGAAATCTCACCTTGCACCTCTCTTCTCCACGACGAGTCTCATCAATCACTAATGGAGCACCGACAACGACAGCAAGCGTACTCGCAGCATTAGCCTCGATCTCGTCTTCTCAACACAGCTGACTTGGATACTGGCCAACCGCTGTACCAGAGTCCCTTCAACAGCTGCAGAACAACACCGGGCCACCAAAACTCCCGGTCACCGAATGGTTCAAAACCGTTTGCTTCTGAGAATGAGAGAATTGAAGATGAACCAAGATCTGATAGACCTTCTGTCTTGAATGGAGGCGAATTAAGCGAAGCTGTAGAGCTTGATTCGAGTCAAACATGTCAGAAGCTCACCAGAGTTCAACGTAAGCAATGAAACCTTAGAGACACGTGGTCGCTTAGCAATGGGTCCTCAGGAATTTACTTGTAACAAGATTCAGCCTTTAATTGCTTTCCCGGCAAAAAGTCGAGACGTATTTTGACCGTATTGCCACATGGTAATAATTGATCCTGTACACCAGGAGGTCGTACCATTTGGCTTTCACAGTTTCACCCCCATAGACGCGAAAATCGAATATTCACCAACAAAAGGAGATGCTTGGTGTTTGGTGGAGTACTTTTTTAAACTTTTGGAATCACTTGTAAGCAGTGCGCTCACTTATTTTATCACCGAAGTGCACATTTTGCGAGATGCTCACGCCACCCTGACGTAAACACTCAATTCTCCTATGTAAATAGAAATGTTGATTAACAGAATTAAAACAACAAACGAATAACGGCACGAACTATTCTGGTTACCTGGTAGCTTAAGTTCGTTCCTGGATGTGTCCCAAGCTTTTGATAGGTTCTGCCACCCAGGCATCTTTTATAAACTTAACCGCTTCTTTCCCACTTCTTACAGCTTTTTCCTGGAACCATATTTGACTTATCCATACTTCAGAGTGATGTTTGGCAACGAGGATCGACCTTGGACCAGAGGAAAATACAATTTGTCTCAAAACCTTTGGATTTATTTATCCAAAACCACGTAAAAACGGTAATTATCAACATAACAATTATTCAAGCAGTA